TTACAAACTGCTTCCCAGAAAGACAAAATAAAAAAAACAGTCGAAGTCGGCTGTGTGTCAGGCAGTAGCTGCACCCAGAAATGCAGAGCTCAGAAGAAAAACTAGAACTAAACTTAAAAGTATGCTGAGCTCAAACAAGGTCAAAAATAATGCAGATCAAAAAGAAGGAAAACAGAATTATACATTTTCTACAGAAACACAAAACCAAGAGGAATCCAGCTCTGAGGGAGAGCTTGACAAAAGGATCACAGGAGACTCAGACAATATATGCACACACAGGATAACAAGGGAAAAGGCAGCAGGTGGAAGTATAACTGAAACTAACCAGATAAACAGATAAAGCGACAAAGGAAGCAGAACTAAACCTAAAGCACATGAGACAAGAGATCATAAGATGGGAAATACTGAAGACTGAGACCAGGACTAAGACATATGAACTTAAGATACAGACAGAAAACAAAACAGAGAGACAAGATGAAAGGAAAAGAACTGGAATACAAGAAGAATTAACAAAAGTGTCAGCGAAGGACAGCAATTATTTATTTTAGGAAGAGAAACCCAAAGAGGTTCTAGTAGCAACAGGAGCATTAGATTTGTGGTTGTAAACAAACTGTTAAGATTCCAACACAGAATTTAAGATCTATAACTTAGATGCAAATGGTATTAATGAAAAGTTTCCGTCTGGTTTTAAACCTCTATTCCGTGGTTTTAGTTTTACTTGACTTGACTGTCTCAAAGGTACGGTTTTAACATGGTTTAAATCCTATCTCTCAGAGAGGTCGTTCTCTGTTGCTATGGGGCAACACTCCTCGGCTTCTGCCCCTATTTATTGTGGTGTGCCTCAAGGGTCCGTGCTCGGTCCTGCTCTTTTCTCTTTGTACATGTTGCCATTGGGATTAATTTTTTAAAAATATAACATCTCCTTTCACTGTTATGCCGATGATATCCAGATTTATTCACCTTTGAAATCCGATGTGTTTGCTTCTTTGCAATGTCTGTTCAACTGTTTGCATGAAGTTAAAATTTGGTTGTCACATCATTTTCTTGCATTGAACGAGAATAAGACCGAAATCGAAGTCTTTGGTAGTCACACTCCGCTAGACCAGTTAGCTGATGCCCTTGGCCCTCTCGCTAGCCATCTCTCGCTCACTGTAAGAAACCTCGGAGTGTTCCTGGATGGCTCTTTTAAACTTGAGAAGCAGATCTCCACTGTGGGAAAAAAACAGCTTCTGCCAGTTGCGTCAGATATCTAAAGCAAAGCCGTTCCTTCCTTTAAAGGACCTTGAAAAGCTTATCCACGCAATTATCACATCCAGATTGGACTACTGTAACTCCCTCTACTCGGGCCTCCAACACTCTTCTCTTTACCGGCTTCAGTTAATTCAAAATGCAGCTGCGCATCTTTTAACAGGTATGAGGATCTATGAACACATAACTCCAATTTTAGCCAAATTACATTGGCTTCCTGTTAAATATCGTATAGATTTTAAAATTCTTTTGTTCACTTATACAATCCCAACAGAGCACTTAGATTGTCCAATCACAGGCTCCTAGCACAACCTAGGAGAGGTGACCGGGCCTTTGCAACCGTGGCACCCAGACTCTGAAATAACCTCCCTGTTCATATTCGTACTGCCGAGTCTATCCAGTCTTTTAAATCACGTCTTAAAACTTATTTTTTTACTTTGGCTTTTGATTCTAACTAGTTGGCTGTTCTAGCTTGTTGTGTTGTTACCTATTGTTTGTTGTCCTGTTTTAATTGTCTCATGCTTTTACTGACAGTGAAGCACTATGGTCAACATTGTTGTTTTAATATGTGCTATATAAATAAATTTTGATTTGATTTGATTTATATCCAGGTACCTCTAGTGACGCACTCCTTGATTAATTATTTTTTTAAATTAAAATTAAATTGTATAGGCTTGTGACAATATATCAGTTTTGGGTTAATTTTTTAAACACTTGGAGTACTAGACATTTATAAAAGCAGGTATAGTACAAGGAGAAGTTCCTCTTATTTAACAGTTATCATGTCATAGCAGAAGTTGTCAATTTAGATTTTTTTATTTTAGATCTTTGCAAGAAACATATTATTAGAGCTTTTTTTTTTTTTTTTTACACAAGGTGAACAAAAGATTTAAAACAATGTGTCTACTTTAGACAAGAGTGTTACAGTACGTCATTCCATCTTAAATCTACAGCCTTCTCATTGCATGAAAATTTTATAGTACATAGTTTAAACACATAAAAAGACTGGTGTGAAGTTTCAGTCTCACATATCAAAAACCTTTCAATCAAATCTAAAGAAAAATAAGACATGAGATATAAAAATGGAAATAAAAATAAATAAATAAATACATAAATACACACCAGATGCTCAGAGAGCACAATGATGCTACCTTGTGATGTAACTTTACATCATTAATTATTCCAATTTATGTACTTAGCACATACTGTAAGAAGGTCAAACTGGAGCGCAAATAAAACTCCAAAATTCATCTTGGGAATCCTTAATGGGTTTTAACTCTGGCGCTGGATGTTGAAGCTTCTGTAGCGTGGGGCGGTCTCCTGACACACTTCCACCACCTGGTCGTCGTCCTGCGCTGTGCTGATGTACCAGTCGGGGCAGCGGACAGACATGAGAGTGCTGATGCTGCGCCCAGTGTCGCGTTTATAGAAGAGAAATCGCACCATGTCGCTTTCAGCGCTTATCCTTGTCAGACTGTTTTTATCCGTCACCTCCTGAGGAGAGCAAACATCCATGTCAGAGAGTTTCAGTCAACAAAATTAGGCCTGATATCAAATATTAATTCATCTATATGTGTGCAGTGTCTTATAGATTATAACAAATGGTGTGCTTTTCATGTGAGATTCCTGAAAGAAGTTTACCTCCAGGTGGAGGGATGGATTGTCGTCATCCTCGTGACAAGACAGATAGAGGTTTGTGCCTTTGATGCCCAGAGCGACAGGCCTGGTCTCAGCGATGGGTGTAGGGTGCGCGTAGGTCGACATGTTCAAGTGCACTGTGGAGAGAGTGATGGATACAAGGTCATTTTAATAAAACATGGCAGCGTACGTAAGCAGGAAAATGTTAGAGGCACAATTGAATCAATTTAATAAATTCAAGCTACCTATCCTTTCTACTTTATGGCATTTTAGTTCTTTTCTACTTCATGTTTCTAACAACATGGATGATGGATGATGATTTTTAATGATTTTCAACTATTTAAACGTCTAAGTGTCACATGTAGTTACCTTTGCGGTCATCACTGCCTCCCTGCAGCATCACTGCATGGAGCTCCATGCTGCTTTGGACCAGAACCAAGCTCCTCTTTTGGCTGTCAGTCACAGTGCACTCAATCTCACCCCTGCTGGTGAACTGAGGTGGTGGACCTGTCCTCGCTATTATACTGTCCTCTGAGGAAAAAAAAAACAGACATTCATGGTTGAATACTGTGTTGTTATGCTGTTTTAAACCAAAGGCTTTAGTTAGATCAGAGAAAAGACATAGATAATAGTATATAATATAATAGTTCAGTGTTTTTCCACTATTTAAATGAAGTCTTGTCTGTGTGATTACCTTCCAAAAAGCTCTTCACCCTGATGGGCAGCAGGTTTTCATCCTGGAAGTCTGTGCTCAGCACTGACCCTGACGTGCTGGTCATTAACCGGTTCACGGCAATGATTAGGTGGGCTACACTCTTCATTGTCACTGGATGATGTAAAACCTCCAAGTCCAGTCCCTTGGGCATCTTGAGGCTCCATTCCTCAGCCACGTAGCTCATTTTGAAGTCCATCTTTTACGGAGTTAAGATCTGCAAAAGCCCAAAAAAACAGTTTCTATTATACTCACATTCATTCACTCACACATTACCTAAATATGTCTTCTACCTTTTTATCAGCTATTTTATTTATTTCTGTTTCTTATTGAACCAAAAAAACATGACATTTTTATATAATGCATTAAAGAAATATAGACATTTGCCTCACCGATTTGTGAATTTAATCTATGAATGAAACCTAAGCAAAAAACAACTACACTCTATGAAGGATCCTCCTTATAATCTGCTCCACATTAACACTGTCAACAAATTGAGTCAGCTTACCTGTTGAAACCTGTAGTTCAGTTCAGTGTCAGTGAGCTTTGTTAGCAGTTGTCTGACTGACCTGATTGGCAGGAGTTTTATACGCTCCCTCGTCTCCTCCTATTGGGGAATTTCTAGAGCCAAACAAGGAGTGGAGCTCCTGGGCTTTCAGTGATGAAATACTGGAATTACACTGACATGTTTGCAGGTCCCCTAGTATCTAGCAATAAATAAACTATAACTATCACTGAATTATGTTATTTATATTTTTTAAGGGGAAAACAATGTTTTTCCTTTTTTGAAGTAGAGTTACAATGAACAGTGTGAAAACCCTCACATGCAATATTGAAAAGAGGAAGCTATACCGCTCTCTCCCACAAATCAAAGCAGACTCAACAAGCAACAAAATACTGAGAACTGTATGTTTATTTTTTTTTTTTAGTTACTACATTTGACTCCAGATTTATGATTTTAAAAACAGATTTTTTAAGGAGGTGATTTAAGCATACTGAAGGTAAATAAAGGTGTAAGGTTGGCATCTGTAAACTCTTTGTTGGCCCTGTATGAAAACAGTATCAAAGGGTTGAGTAATATCAGCATCTTAAAAGTGTAAGTCATGTGGAGTCACAGCGGGAACAACAGAAAGTACAGAAAGCCGATGAAGCGCATGGCTCGTCACATGAAACCCAACATTTACTTGTTTGAAAGTTGTTATTTTTTCTCACTTATTTGAGCACTCTGTGGGGTTTTTGCTGTTATTTTTTGAGGAAAAAAAAATAGGAAGTGTAGTGCAACTGGTGCTATTTGTGTTACAAAGCTGATAGCAAGAATTCTCAACATACAGTCAGATACAGTTTAACGTGGATTAGTTAGGTTGTTTATTTCTCCTGGTGCTTCCTCTGCAGGTGAGCCAAAACCACACCCTGCTGCCACATGCTCTTAGAGCCTTTTTATTGGCCGAGCGTGTCAGGCATAGTTGTTACAGTTGAAAGCTCTGAGTAATTTATAAGTGCCTGGCAGGGGAAGGGCTCCACTTAAATATACTGTTTATGATATTTACATCCTGTTGCTTCATGTAAACTTTAAAAATGCTACGATCTTCCGATAAGCTCCAAACAAAAGTTTTCATTGTGTGACTAGTTTTGCAGCTATAATAGGCACATTTGACTCCAGATTTATGATTTTAAAAACAGAATTTTTAAGGAGGTGATTTGAGCATATTGAAGGTAAATAAAGGCTATTAAAACAGTAACAAAGGGTTCAGTAATATCAGCGTTTGACAGATAATGGTTTTATGGTCCAAAGTTTGGAAGCATATAATGAATGCTGTGAAATTCTAGCTTCATGTAGCAAATACTTTTCAAGATATAGATCTTTAAATGGTCAGCTGACCCGCTTTCAGGCTATTTTCTGGCACATTGAAATCTGGGGCAACGTGAATAATAAAAAGCCTGGAATTTTCACTGGTTCTTCTTACTAACCAAATGAATCGGTGTGTGTGATCTGGGACAGATAACCAAAAAATAAAAAGAAACAATCCTACAGAGACATACAAGAACACTGTTGGAAAATCACGGTGGAAAAAAAGCAAGAAAAGCAAAAACAAATCCTGACTGTGTGTCAGTACCATTAGCCAAGAAGAAGAGACTAAATTAAGCAATAAATAAATACAATTAAAGGAAGCAATTATAGCAAACAAGCATTATGCTGCTGGTTGGCAGTTTCACTTTGCTTTTTCATTTCCTTTATGATGAAATCAAAGGGAAACACGCAGAGAGATGACAAACTTTGACAAACAGAGTTTGAGGATATGATCCTTGATAACCAGACATGTATCTTCCACTAAACTATATTAGATTTCATTAGAATGTTTTTTGACATGGGAAGTGAAAGGCAGTGCAGCTGACAGCATTGCTGGTTTATATCTCGAGGATCCTAATTGTGGAGTTTCCTCTCACAGTCCAAAGACATGGTCAACTCATGATCATAAACTGGATGTAAATGTCTATGATTATCTGTGTCAGGGTGTTATCCCTGCGTCTCACCCAGTGTGAGCTGGGATAGGCTCACTGCCATCCAATCTGCAGTTGGGTAAAGGGTTAAGGAAGGTAAATTGAAGGGGTGGGGGGTGTGAGGACCAGTGTTGGTCAAGTTACTTGAAAAAAGTAATCAGTAACTAATTACTGATTACTTCCCCAAAAAAGTAATCCCGTTACTTTACT